TTTTTTTTTATATTTTTCCTCTATCACGTAGTCCTACCCATAACCGGTAAGCTATAAATCCCAGTAGTAACACGACGATGCCTACTTTGAATGCCAAAGCAAGTCAAGACCGATGCAAATCAGTGAGCGGCACATACATAACCCCCATGAGACGAGTTTCCTTGACTTTTCCCTCACTATCTTTATCATACTGAGTCATATATTGTTCGTCCCCTTCTGGACCAACAGGAACAATTAACCGTCCTCCATTTGCCAACTGCTCTAAAAGAGGCTTTGGTGTTACGGCTGCAGCAGCTCCTACATGAATGGCATCATAAGGAGCATGCTCTGGTACACCCTTCCGACCGTCGCCCTCTGGTTTGTGGAAAAATAGCGTTATCTATGCACATATTTTTTCGCTTCTACACTTACCAACAATAATAAGCTTTCCCGAATCAAGCATCTTTGGATCATCAGTATTGAGATTCTGCAAACTTTGTTTTACAAGTTCTGGCTGATGTTCAATTCCAATAACACGTGTATTAGGTTCGTCTCCTTTGTTTTCAATATATCGTAAAAAGCAAGCCGTTAAATAACCTGAACCACTGCCAACATCTAAGACATGGGCACCAGGACGTAGATGATCACGCAGATATTCCAATGCGAAAGCATGCTGTATATGTAAGTGAATGCAATTGAGGTAATTATAGAGAGATGCAATGATGACCTTGAAAATTACAACTCACCATATGTGGAGCGGATATTGTAACGCCATATCCGATTGTCTGTGGTGCGTCCATATACGGATTTCTGGGAGAATAATACTTTCGATCTGTTTTGATCATTGCTTGGGCCACATTATCTGAAGCAATCACACCAAAATCTAAAAGTAAAATTGAAACAAAAATTATGCCTATTGTACGCCTGCAATCAAGTCTACGCGAAGCGAGGATTTTTTTCTTACCTCTCATCTTCCTAATCAAGTCCGCATTGTCAGCACCAACTGAGCGCCACGCCATTCTGCGAATCGTTAGGCAGTGTTTTTCAATTAGTTCTCTAAACACTTTAAAATTTTGTACGTTTCAAAATAAAAAAGAAAATTTGCTTGTTTACAAATACTCTAGAGATAGGAAGGAAATGATACATTATACGATATGATACGATATTTTTCGTTCGATCGCAAGTAATTTTGGTATCGATACTTTTGAGCCAAATACCCTGCAAAAAACGGCTGACCATATCGGAAAGAAACTATCGATTGTTGGCTCGCATACATATGTACATCATGAACCAAAAATACAAGATCACGTAAGAATGCGACGTTGTATTTGTAACTGGTTTTGTTTACATCACAAGCACCACTATTTTACACTTTTATTCAAATAAAGAAGAGTTAATTCAATATGACAACACATTTTAAAGCATTTTGTTGCATCATTTTACCTAAATTGTGCGTTTTAAGTGGCTGACAATAGTTTTGGCTAATTTTGGTTTTCGTTGTTTTCTTTGTTTTGTTTACTTTTCGCTCGTTTTCCAGTGAAACAAGATGGCGTAGAACCCGCTAAAAAAATCTACCTTTTTCACTCTCTTGTTCTTACGTGATCTTGTGTCTTTCGTTCATGTATGTACATACCCATCAAGAACGATAGAATACAAGATTGCGGATTCCCGCAGAATGACATTTTTGGCAACGGGTAAACAAAGAATATGGCGAAGAACAATGAGTTGACAGTTGTGAATTTACAGTGAGAAAACGTGTTTTCTTCACGATTCACCAATTTCTCAAGCCATCTTTGAATATAGCAAATTAAGTACAACGTTAACAAAAAATATACAACCACTCTTGAAATGTGTTCAAAAGAATAGGTCTTATTAATTAACTATTTAGAATGTTTGTGTTTGTATTTGCAAGTGATAATATCTTGTCGCAGCGCATGTTTTCCTGCAGAATGTGGTCCGATTTTAATTTGTAATTTGTGGTATTTTAACGTTTTCAACTTAACATGTCGCGTTTAAAAGTGGTCCGTAAAGTGCTTCATGTATATTACGCTGGTGTGTAAATTGTAGGGCTTCTCCTGCCGGCAGAACTCTACCCTCTTTCTGGCCAAGGCGTCGTCGCGGGGAAACAAAAAAAAAAATGCATTTGGGGGCTTTACCCCTACGGCTGCTGCAATTAAACACACGATACGACATTTTTATAAAGTTTTTATTACAAATAAAACGTTTTGTACTTCAGAACGCACGAATTACTCCGATTTTCACTTGAAAGTACACAATACGTTTGCAATACGTTTGCACTTGTTTATAAACAAAAAGTTTGTTTACGTATTGCCATAAACGTCAAAGTCGGCAAAACCAAAGTAGCGGTTTCGGGAATGCGCCACCTTCAGTTCATTACACCATGGTCCCCATAAAGGACTAGTGTTGCAAGCAACGCTTTTTCGGCAATTAGGGTGTTGTGCAGCTATTTAATGTGGTGAAAATTATTTAAGAATGGAGAGATTTATTCGCATGGAATTGGAGATAGTGATGATAGATTTACTTTAAAAATGTGAATCGGGCGAAACTCACGATTAGGCTGATTAGTAAAAGTAACGTTAATTTATAAAAAATTGTTATCTCATTTTGGCGTATATAATTAAAACTGATTGCAAATTTTTTGACAAATGTGTCGTATACGACAAAATTGTATTAAACTCATAAATGGTTGACACTAAACTAAAAAAATAAGATAATTTAAGGATCTCGTGAACTAGTACATAGCATCCTCAGACTCTTTGGAGAAAATCTGTAGTCGTATTTCTGAGAAATTGCATTCCAAACTTCAATCGCGAGTTACCGAAAGTAACTTGTAACAATATTTTATCCAGGCGACGACATAACATTTAGCTAAAATATGCATCTAAATAAATTATAATTGTCATTATTTT